ACAACATCGTTTTGGAGAAGACACGAGAATGGAGGTGGGGAATCTTGAGATTGAGACGGGCATGTTGTGAGTGGCGGGTCTTTGCATTTGTTATATAATGATTTAGATTTAAAAGCCCGCTCACAACACCGCCCTCTCTGCTTGAATGAGCAATGCCAAACAGGGAGAGGACAAAGTGGGTCTTTGGACAGCAGGAAACCGATAGGGTATGCCCCACAAGAAGACTCCTCCAAACATGATAGCTTCTTGGAGCACTCTCAAGCTCGGCAAATTGGGACTGCAGCCCCTTCCAGCTACTTTTCAGTGGGATTTTCGTGAAAAACATGATCTGACCAAACTTAGGCAAAAAATGCATTTTCCCAGAAAATGTACTTTACCACCTCGGCCATTTATTTAATGTTCTTTGGAAGTTATATAATGAATGCCCAGTACTTCCAAGACGCTAGTAAACTATGGCTTTACAAAAAGACGGTGTTTCACCCAAAAGACGGTGTTTAACCGTGAATGGGGTATTTGTTGGCTGGGCCCACCTGTGAAGTCAGCTGGGCTCGGAATTGAAAGCAGTCCGGTGATGCAACACACATGCCTGCATGCCAAAATGTACATTGCAGTCATATATGACATATTTCCCATGCCTGTCACAAGGTAAGCCTTCATGCCAGCGGTGCGGCATGCATGGGTATGGACCATGGATCGAGATTGCCTTGGCCACATGCAAGTGTTTCTCAGCTGCGCTGCGTGATTCACGCGATGACATCAGCATGCAAGACGTCACACGCGCAACAACAAACTCGTAGCATCACTGCGCAACAACGTGTCTTGGGTCGTGTCATGGGCAGGGCTACCGTCTAGGAGGTGGTAATTCGATGCTTGTAGGGTAGCTGTGCTGTATGGGAATCGCAGACAATATCGATGTATATGTCTGCTTCACCCATATCGTTGACAAATCGCGGACCGTGAGCCAACCGTAATTTTTGCGTGAACGACGGAGTTTACCCGTGAAAGACGGAGTTTACCCGTGAAAAAACGTGAATTTCCACCCCCCCTCCCAGACTGCTGATTCGGTCTGCAACAATTACATGGCTACAAATCCGTTTGCCCAGCTATGTGGCGTGGACTAGATCCTTGGGCCTGCAAAAATTGGCCGCACTGCTTCCACAGAGTTAGCATGAGCGCATTGAACATTGGGTCTTTCTGCGTAATGTGCATGGCAAGCGCGGACATCAAATCTCGGTATACTTCTCAGCACGGTGCTCGTGCAAGCCCTGAAGTGTAAATTGTGGTGTCTCCAGCCAGCCAATGGATGATTCTGGTGTGGTGCCTGATAAACAGCTGGCTCCAACACTAGCCTACACCTGCGCCTAGCACAATCTTATCGAACAGTTCAAATTGCGCACACAATATTAATACTGATCTGGCGCAAATGTGCTGGTGATGTCTCACTGTGCGTGGCAGAACAAGAGGTGAAAGCGTGAGCAGCGTGAATGAGCGTGAAATTTCCCAAGACCATGTTTATTCGCTAAGGACGTATGAAACGCTGTTCACTCATGTCTTTTGATGCCCTGGGAATGGTTTGTTTGAGCAGTAGATTTCACTTGCTTCTCACTTGTGTTTTTAACGATGGCTTTACTCTCCCACAATCTTGGAAGCTTACAGGAAGTTGTGCGATGACTATGTTTGTTGGAAAGAGTTTTGGATGTGGTTCACTTGCGATTCAGTTGGACTGGACGATGCTTCTCAAAAAGGTGGACGCCCTGATATATTTTGATTTTTTTACGGCAACGAGAAAGCCAACACGAAGCAGCGTTAGTTGCACCGGGCTCATGGGTAAAGGTCACGCAGGGCGCCTTTGTCACGAAGTGGCTACAAGTCTTGGGCTAGGTTCCTCGGCGAGGTACCCTTTCTCACCCTTTCTTGGGAGAGGGTTCCCCAAAACAGAAAAAAAGGGCACCCTTATTCTAACCTCTCTACTGGAGGACCTAGTAGGGCATCGCCTGAAAAGTCTGAGCTCTGTTTCCCTGTTTTGGAACCTGAAACCCAAGAACACAAAGCGGAAGACCCTTTCCTTTGTTCGGACCCTCAAGTCAAAGAACCAAAGAGGAAACCCAAGCCTTCATTGTTGGCAAGTTGTTTGTTTTATATTTGGTTCTGTTCATGTTTGGTAGGCTGCAAACAACCGTCAGTGTTTTTGGCAAGCCCACGCCGTTTGGGTAAAGGAGCCTCACCTCAGAAACCCCCCTATATCAGAGGTGTAAACTCTTTCCCTTGCTAGCCTCAAACCAAAAAAGACCAAACAAGAAAAAACAACACACGAATAAAACGCGAGCCTTCACGTTTTTTTGTTCATTTTTCGGGGGCCGCAAAAACTTGATGGTGCTCAGCAAGGAATGAGAGAAGGACCTTGTAACCTATCTTTTGCGGTTTCCTTCAAGTGGACCAAAGCTGAAATCATTCAACCACATTCCCCACCTATAGCACCAGCAAGAAAAATCCGACACCAAGCCGTTCCACCTCCAATTCCTAAAAATACGGACGCCTTCACAGTTTCCTGGTGTTGTTTCTTTATCTCTAGGGGGCTGCAAAAAACAGGGGGGCTGTTTTGTTTGCTTCAATTTCTACCTGGAGTCTCCATGACCCCTTAGAAATTGGGGTCAATACCCAAAAACGTGGTTGGTCATGAAAAACAGTTTTTAAACGGTCACGGAGACTCCAGGTCTGCAAACGGGCGACGCTTCAGGTGGCGGCCACCTTCTGCGGCGCCAACTTCCCCGAGGCCACGGACGCTGAGCTGCGGCTGAGGCGCCAGCACTGGGCGCAGCTGCTCTACCGCTTCCAGCGCCTCAGAAGTCGTGCTTGCGTCGCTTCTTTTTTAGGGAACCCCCGGGAAAAATGGGGATGGCGGGGGGAGTCCTTCATTCATTCATTCATTCATTCATTCATTCATTCATTCATTCATTCATTCATTCATTCATTCATTCATTCATTCATTCATGCATTCATGCATTCATGCATTCATGCATTCATGCATTCATGCATTCATGCATTCATGCATTCATGCATTCATGCATTCATGCATTCATGCATTCATGCATTCATGCATTCATGCATTCATGCATTCATGCATTCATGCATTCATGCATTCATTGCATTCATGCATCATTCATGCATTCATGCATTCATGCATCATCACATCATGCATTTTCATTCATTCATCATTCATTTAATCATTTCATTTCATTCATTCATTCATCATTCATTTCATGCATTCAGTCATTCATTCATTCATTCATTCATCATCATTCATTCATTCATCATTCATTCATTCATTCATTCATTCATTCATTCATTCATTCATTCATTCATTCATTCATTCATTCGGTCATTCATTCATTCATTCATTCATTCATTCATTCATTCATTCATTCATTCATTCATTCATTCATTCATTCATGCATTCATGCATTCATGCATTCATTCATCATTCATGCATTCATGCATTTGCATTCATGCATTCATTCATGCATTCATGCATTCATGCATTCATGCATTCATGCATTTCATCATCATCATCATTCATTCATTCATTTCATTCATCATTCATTCATTCATTCATTCATTCATTCATTCATTCATTCATTCATTCATTCATTCATTCATTTCATTCATTCATTCATTCATTCATTCATTCATTCATTCATTCATTCATTCATTCATTCATTCATTCATTCATTCATTCATTCATTCATTCATTCATTCATTCATTCATTCATTCATTCATTCATTCATTCATTCATTCATTCATTCATTCATTAGTTTGCTGAGTCATTCCATCGCTCACTTTGCATGCACAAGTTAACGGTTACACCGTCCGGCAGTGTCGAACGTACGGGGAGGGAAAGGAAAAAAGAGGTTTTTTTGTATCTTGTGTTGAGGGAACCTGATATGTGTGCAGGGGACCCTGCTGGAAAATGGGCTTCAAAAGGGAGAAGTGGTTTGTTCATCTCTCGTTTCTGAGGGAACATTTTGGGGCTGTTAAGGTCTGGTACCATCTGAAATATCCTTGCCGGTTACTCAAACGAAGATGGTAAATATTTAGATTATTTGTGGCTGATCGCTGACTAAGGCCGAGGGAAGGGTTGGATGGTGGACACTTGGTATGGAAAGGTGTCTCACTCCCTGAGTTTCTGGATTTTCTTGGGAAGACTAATTTAGTGGCAGCGAGGTGCAACGTCCACGGTTGGGGGTAGCTGGCCAGTAAGAAGCACCTGGTTGGAGGAATTCCCTTGGTTATTGAGACGAAATCTGGTGAGCAGAATTTGAGGACTTGTCACATTCCGTGTCCTGGCAGGTTCCCCCATTTTTTGTGTGGGCCAAAGATTGGGAACGCATGGGGGAATCGGCAGGGAACGACATCTATTATTTGCGTCACTTCACTATGGATCGGGCGGGGGTCTTGTAAAAGGGCGCTCTTGCGCGCTTGGGGTCCCCTCTGGGAACCAGCCCCACAGAAACCCCAACCCAGACACCCAGTGGGTTGCTTCCTTCTTCCTTTGGGAGGGGTTCCACCAAAAAGAGGATGGCCTTGGGCGGGGCTGCGACGGTGCCTCTTGCGCTGAGCGCTCAAATTGGCCACGAGTCTACATTGACTTGCGAGATGCTGCACAGCAAGAAGCAGCGACGGTGTATCACAACAGGCTGATGAGCCTCTGCGGTCTCCCGTTCCACGCCTTGGCCAAGATCAATGCTCAGACCTCGCCCGTGAAAAGGTGAAGTGGAGGTGAACGGTGAGCAGTGCGAGACATGGGAACTCACCAGCTCCCCTCCAATTTAGTCTCTTTTTGACCTGCCATTTGAGCAAAACAGAAGGTGCCACTACCTTTGTGTGGCCAAGCCACTCGATTAATGAGGGGGGGAAGGCCCCTTTGTTCAAGGTGTGGTTGAGGGTTTGGTTGTTTCAAGAAGGTTTTTGTCAAGGGTGTTTCCCCCTTCAACTAGCTGTTTTGTTTTTTCTTGAAGGTAGTTTCCCTGTACAATTCTTCTTGCCATGTGTTGAGTTGCAATTTGCTTGTTTTATGGCAGGAGTCCCGGCCCAGTTGCTGAAAGGATTCCTTCAGGATGCATGTTGACGATGTTGAATGTTGCATTTACAGGCTGTTCTTTGGAGACCACCTTCTTGTCACACAAGAGTTTGGGGGATGTATCTCAGGCACACTCCACAGCGTTTCTCCGTTGTCGATGGTTCAAGCATCATTCGCGGCTGACTTAAGTGAGTTTTTGCCTGGCCCGGAAGCTTCACTGTTTACCCCGGACCAGTCCTATCAGCAGGTTGCTTTTGGTTTCCGTGTGAGTAGGAGAGTTGTTTCGTCAAAAAAGGTCTTGTGAGCCACAACGAACGCCCGCAAACACTCCCACCAAACAAGGAAGTGCGCAGGAACCCTGCCCAGAAGGAAAGTATGGTCCAAAAGTGTTTGTTTGTGCACTTCCAGATGATTTAGTCCAAGACACGGTCCCCATTGCCATTCAGAATTGGGGACATCCACCCTGCTGGTTTACAGCCACTTGCTATTCTTGGTTTTGCTTGCCCCGTGGTATGTTGGAAAGGTGTTTTTGGGACCGGAAGTGGTAGTTTGGGTGGTCTCACTCAAAAGAAGTTACTCTCTCTCCCTGAAAGGCTCGGTTCTCCCCTGGACCTCTCGCTTGCCTTGGGGCAGTTGTTTCTCTTTGAAGTCTGGCGTGTCCTTGCAGATGCCTGCTTGCCTGAATCGAGGATGCCGCGTTCTAGCGAAAGGAATACGCTTGCTTGTTTAGAAGTCGGTTCGAAATGTCACGCGTAGTTGTTTACGGAACGATTGGTTGCTCTTTGACACGCAGGTTTCCTTTGTGGTCATCAATCCCGCTTGCCTGTTTGTGACGGGCAGCCTTTAGAATCTATTTTTTATCAGGCTGTCAGGCTGTCCCTGCCAAATCCTTGCCGTTTTTTAGGGCCCGTCTGTCATTCCTATGTTTAGGTGTTGGACTTGCCTTTTCTCCTAAGTGGCGGTTTGTCAGTCAATGTCCAGTCAAGGCATGCGTACTTTAAGAAGATAGGTGCACCTTCTATTTTCTGCGTGCCCTTGTTTGTTCGGGATTGTTTGTTTTCCTCCCAAAATTCATCTCCATTTTGGGGAGGAGGTTATTGCCAGTCTGCGGCTGCGGCGTGCTGAACGTAACTGGGAAAGCCTGGGGCCCTCGCGCTCGAGGAAGTATGGGCACTTCTCCACCGGCAACCGCGAGCCTCGGATGCGAGCGACCGAATTCCAGGGCCAGGGGTACCTCCGGGGGGGGGGGGAGTTCGTCTCGGGGAAAGCGCCCCAACTTTCCGGGTACAGATGAATCACATGGTAGGATATGCAACTGACCATATACTTCGAATCGCGATTTGGAATCCTTGTCACTGTCGCTGATGAGCACAGAAAGTTTAAGTTTTTGAAGGCGAAAGTGGGTGTTTGTCATGTTTTCCAGACCCTAAATGGTAGGAGCATGACATGGAAGGCGGTAGATGTCTCAAGCTAGCGGTAACTGCGGCTGGGGCTGATCCCAGGTACCCTTCGTAAATGGCACCTCGGAGGGCGCCTACATGATTTCCTCTTGGGACCCCCTGCCATTATTCCGTTGGGTGGATCGAAGTCGGACAGCCAGTCCCACGGGGGCGGGGATTTTGGGCTTTGTTTTTGTCAGGGGGTTTGGGCAGCCCGTTACTTCTACACGACGAATTCTCAAAGGGTCAACGGGCGTTGGTTCTGAATGAGGCCCAAGGATGGATGATGTGGACAGACGATATGGTTGGGGTATGGGTTGTTTCCTGATATGAAACCCTAGGTTTACTGGTTCACTGACAACTAATTATATGGTTCAACGCAAGACCGACCACCGAACGGGCCTATGGCTCTTGTCTTTCCATCTGAGGTGGGCGCTTTGGAGGGTGGCGACGAGTGCTTCACTGAGATGTTGAGTGCCATCGCCAGTGCCAAGACCCGAGTTTGGTGCGAGAGCTACATCTTCGACAACAGCCGCTCGAAAGCAGAACTCTGCACGCAGATGTGGCCGAGTTTGTTTCCAGACCCCGAAAATAAACACGAGTGGTTTCCGTTTAGAACCTCAAACGCAATGTACCCAACCTCCGAAATACAAGATAGAATCTGTTGCTCGAAATGGTGGACACCCCCTCTTTGGTCGGTTTTCAGTGTTAAACAAAAGAAACCCGAGCATTCTAAAGAAGCCCTTTGAGAACACCCACTAGCAACCAGTGAAACGAATAATTACCGCAAATTGGAAAATGCATATCGTGTGGCCCTGCGTTCCCGCGATGCTTAGCTGTTAGGCAAATCGAGGGAGAGCCCTCGGCGCAAACCTGAGCTCGTTGGAGTTGGAGGCAGAGAGTTGGAAAGCCCCATGGGAGCCTGGTGTCCAATGTTTGACACGTGCTTGATGGACAGCAAGACAAGCAGCTTTCTTGCGGAGAGAGTGAGACGAAACATCTGGCGTGATGGACCGAGTCCCCCAGCATGAAAGCTGGAAAGATCCATCAAAGAGACCTCAGAATTGAAAGCCGTCAGCTTGGCATGTGTTGAATTGGGGGAGTTCTGGAGGCAAATCTCAGGGATTTTGAGAGCCATGGGAGCTGTTGGGACACTTGGTGATGTGCCTTCAATGATGTTTATTGAAGATCTGGTCATCGTCTACAAAACACTTGACACATAAATACCATTACCTTTATCCTTGTCTTCATTATGAACAGCATTATTATCAGCGTTCTTTGAACTGAGGCGTTTAATCATATTATGCACTTGTATAATTTGATTACACATCTTAGAAGCAATTTGCAGTGCCAATTCCCCGTGCCATTGACCATCCCAATCTTCCAGGTGGGAGCAAAACGAATCCAGGAGCTTCTGGTGGCAACAACATGAATCCAATCTGTTTCTAGCTCATGCAGAAGTGTTTAGCATAAACCCACATAAACCAACCTCACGCCTTATTTTGCCATTCCCCCCCCCCCCTCCAATCCTGCGCTTTCTGTTGGGCCGGATGAAACGCACAGTGGTGCTGCCACGTGCTTGAACATGCGTAAATCGAATCAATGTTGTTGAAACATCCTTATTTTAGGTTTTCGTTTGACGTGTCTGAAAGTGCACATGTTGGCGGGTGTTCTTAGGTTTTTCTGGGGCTCCTAGGGGGTTCCCTTTAAATCGGGGCAGTTTCGTTGAGGATGATACACGGACCCGGCGCAGGTTCCTTTCCGTTTCATCCTTTTTCTTTCTTTTCCGTCCTCTCCGGACGACATGGGTCTGTGTGTGTGTGTGTTTGTTGTTTGAGGCTCCCCACTTTTGTGGTTGCTTCAAAAAAAAACGCCCAGAGCAGTTCACCCGAGCTCTGGAGCTCCCCGAGGCCCCGTTGCCGAGATGGTCTTCCAGCACCTGAAGGCCGCGGCTGCGCGCAAGGTGGACGTGGTGCTGCTGGTGGACTTCATCGGCTCCTTCACGCTGCGCAACGACTGGGTGAAGGAGCTCCGCGGCCGCGCTTCTCCTCGAATCTCTCGAATCGGAGAACGAATCCCCGGCCCGAATTGGGCCATGAAGTTTTCACAGGGAAGCACCTCCAAAGTGATGGACATGAATCCCCGAAGTTTGATGTCCACCAAAGGGTTTATCAAAATTCATCGTGCACGTCACTAGGTGCCATAGCGTGGATGGTTGCCACATCCGCCAGTCTCGCACCGTTCAGAATCCCAACGGTTTCGGATTCGATGCCCCTGTAAATACGTACCAGCAGCTACAAGGGCTTTGTTCCTCCAAAAGTCACATTGTCAGATTCTGCTACACATCCAGTATAATTACCCTGAAACAATACATATTTATATATATATATGTATATATAATTGATTTATATATGTATATATTATTGATTTATGTATATATAATATATATTATTGATTTATGTCTATATATATATATATGTGTTATGTGTTATATGTATATATGTTCTTGGAAGAGACTCCAGAAAGGTGGCCTTCCAACCGGGGCATTCGAGGTTTCATGAATCTATTTGGTTGATTTTCTCACCCCTAGTGTGGATTGCAAATCCGTTCGTAGTACGAAATGAAACCATCGGATGTGGGCAAAGACTTAGGCGCTTCTCAAACTAGGAGCAAACCAAGAGCTTTCCGGGGAAACGAGGAAACACACATGCTCCGGGATCTATTTGGAGAACACCCATTCCGGAAGTGGTTAGCAACCCCACTTGGTAAGTTCCGAAAGTGACCTGTAAGTTTCATTTAGCCAGTGTTCATTGGATTCCCCGCCCCTCCAAAGCCTTTTTCGTTTAGTGGGCTCCCATCAAGGCAGCGTCCATCGTTTTCCATTAAAGCCATGGCGGGTTTCAGTCGCATGGGGTTTGGTTTCGGAGCAAGGGGGTTGTGCCAAGATGGGGTTGTATGCCCCACCAAATCAAAGAAAAAACCTCCCGCTTTCTCTAAGCCCGATGCCACCCCTGTTTCTGGCATGTGTAGAATCCAATGATATATTCTATGGCGCAAAGCACTCCACATAAATTTACAAACGCTGGAAGGTGGCCCTTGGCCAGAACGCAATCTGTTTCTTGGGCCGAAAAACCGTGGCTTTCGGCCAGGAGCTGCGGCAGGCGGGTGCAGACGTGGTCTTCTTCAACCCCGTGCTGCCGGCGCACCTCTGCGTGGGCCCCATCTCCTTCCGAGCGGGGCTCAGTCTGTGGGGGGAGGGGGGGGTGGTTGTTCGGGAGGGGGGGGTTCGAAGAACAAAAGGGGGGGGGGGGTTCGGATGCAGGTGCAGGGTGGGTATGTTGAGAGAAGGGAGCTCTCTGAACTGACATGAGGTTACAAACGCTTCGCTGGAGATGCGGAAACGGAAAAAACAAAAAAAGGTGATGGTTGTGAGGCAGGAATCCTTGGTGCTGAAGAGAGACCAAAGAAAAACCGGGTCCCGGTTTGATTGTGTATAATGTGCTGTTTGGCAATGCTGCCTTGCCTTTTTGCAGTCCGTGGCAGCGCGCGAGAAAGAAGGCGTGCTTTGCCATTTGGAGTTTGCGTTACAAGTCGCACAACTACCGGAACCTTTTTCTAGATTCGCTTCTCGAGAGGGCAGCAAAAGAGGACGAATAGAGTGCCAAACACAAGCCGGCGCACCTGCCGCCCGCGTGTCCACGCCCGCGTCTCAAAAGCGGGCCCCCGTTTCCCACTGGGTTGCTTCTGTTTTTCAACTTTTTTGGGGACGGGTTCCCCTTTAAAGTCAACTAACCTCAAACAAAACCGGATGCCCTTTACCAAAAAGGGACGCCGATCCTTTTTTCCCTGTGGAAATCCACTGGGCAGAGTGGGTTTGCCTCTGCCCCCGAAAGCGGATCCCCAAACGCCTTTGTGTCCGGGGTCGGACCCAGGAGATCATCGCAAGATCCTGATCTCTGACGAGGTGGGGTTTTGCACCTCGGCCAAAGCTGGAACTGAGGGATGGGGAAACCCTCCGTCGGAGCCAGAAAGTGGAGAGGTTCAACGAAACACAAGTGGGGCTTGATCAATATTCCGTTCGGCCCCCAATTGACCAAGGGTAACTGCTCCCATGGAGTGGGAAATATCATTGTTTTTGTGGTTTTCCCCGTAGTCATCCCATGTAAAGGACCTTTTGATCAACCCCCAAGTCCCAAACATACTCAACTGGCGGCTGACGTTCTTTTTCACCAAACACTTTCTGATTGCTGAATCACCAGCTTCAGGGCCTCTCCGCCCCAAACCACTTCCTCCCCCTTCAAACAGAAAGACGAGTATTACAAAACCACCCCCAACTCCTCAACCCCAAGCCATATCCTTAATTTTCGCAGGGGCCTGTCGGTTGGCAGATCCCTTTGAACCAGGTGGCGGCATGAACATCCAAGAGGAGGTGGGCAGGGTTGCTTTCCCCGGCATGCCTAATACTATGAGAACCACTATGCTTGAAGGATGAACTCAGCTAACTGTCCTTTTCCCTTCCACCAACAAACAAGAAAGTTTACAGGAACCTTCCCTTTTCGAGAGAAGCACATGTCGGTGCACGTGCAAGGGTCAACGAAAGGCTCATGACACTTTACGCCAACTTTGCTCACCGGCCAATTGATTTACAAACAGCTAAGTCTCTGACTTCTTCGGCTTCCCTAGGCCCAAACAAAGAAGTATCGCTTGATGAATGGACCATTCCCCCTTTTTGGGGCCATGGGGGAGATTCTGGGGTCCTTTTTTAGGCTCCAAGGAGCCTTCAGCGGAAAGCCAGGAAATCGAACATTGTACCCTTTGCGTCAAGGGTCGCGACTCGAAATGTTTGCCTAGATTTGCAGCAACACCTGCGTGGCAAGACAAAAACCACATCATGTAGGTCCTTTACTTCTGGATGCCACAAATACCATGGGCCCATCTGGTGTGAGAAGGCTTCCCTGTCACCTCCTTGCGACCGCCTTTTTTTCTTGATGCCTTAGCTCCATGGGTCCAGCGACAGGTGGGGGAGGAGATCTACGGCACCAGCCGCTTCTACGACGTCCACGCCAAGTTGGAGGGCCCCTGCGTGGCGGACCTCGCCGAGGTCTTCCGGGACTCCTTGGAGGCTCGAGCGAGCCGGGCGAAGGGGATCCGATGCCGCGATCGACCGGGGGAGGGAACTGAAGCGGGGAAAGCGTCGCTGGTTGCCTCTCTTTCGGTTTTTTCCCCCCCATGTTAGCGGTTTTGATTTGCCATTTTAGCGGTAAATCAAGAGCTTGGTCACTGTTTTGGCCCACCCACTCAGAAAGTGAGGTTACAAACATGTGCTTGGATCTGTCCTGCTGTTTTACTGTTACTGGTGTTGGGACAAATGAAACATGTATTATATCACACAAGATAGAGAAAAAGATACCAAATCGATCTGTTTGGAATGTCGTGATTTTGTAAGACCCGAGTTTCCTCCCCTTGTCCAAAGCAAATCCACCTGGCCTTTTGGTTGATCCATGTTGGATCTTTAGTCTAGGTCCCGAAAGGTTAACCTTGTATTCTTGGGTCCTCTCTGCGAGTGGGTTCCTTTAAGCCTGGGTTGCCCCACCTCTGGGGTGGGAGGTTATGTGACCCATTCGGGCACAGACAGTGACCTCACATGGTTTCGGTTTGCAAGCTCAGGCTCCATGTGGCCTGGTCGCAGCGCTGCAGGGTTCAACCAACCCGTTAATTCATGGGTATCTGGGTAATTGCTCCCAAAATGGTGTTCCTTTTGGTTTCCCTGTATACCAAGATGAATATCGTACCCCAAAAGGAACGAACACAAAAACAAGAGAGTATTGTTCAACAACCTTTTGGTGTCGCTTGAAGCTTAACCAACCCTCGCCGAATGTGCCAGGAGGCAGGAGGCCAGGTGGTACGAGGCCCCATCAGCCCGCCCGCGCCCTTGGAGAATGGGATCTACGTGCAGATCCTCCAATCCAACGTGCGGAAGCGGAGGCGGACCCTGCAAAAGGCCGGTCGTCGAACTCAGAAGTCGGCAGGTTGGTGTGGCGGCTTTTTGGTTCTTCACTCTTTGGTTTGTTGGTTCCGATCCTTTTTAGTTTTTAGTGGGCTGCAAAAAAACGTCAGTGTTTTGCAGGCCCGTACCAAGGGTTGTAAAGTGTTACAGCGGTTGAAGCTACCCCTTTTGGGGGGGGGTGTTCAAGGCGACCCAAGTGGAAAGCCATCATTTTGGGGGGTCCCAATCCGTAGAAACACTGGTTGCCCACGAGAAAGGCATCGGCTGTTCAGCAGCTTGGGAGTGTTGTCTTACATTTGCACGACCAAGTTTGAGGTAACCCTCAGCTTGTGGTTTGAATTGGTGGTGTGGAGATTGGAACGTCTGGCTCTTGTAATTCGAGGGTAAATGGGAAACCCCCCTCCTGACCTCCAAACCATCAACCAAGTAGGGGGAAGCTGAAAGTTTGACCAAAGCTCATGACTTTCTAAAAGAAATCAACGCGGGGGTCGACTCAAATTGATGCTGAACCCAGGTATTTGAGCACCTCGCTTCGGGAAATCAAAGTCTGCCAGAGATACATGCTGTCAACAGCCACCTTTCCAGATAGTTCGCCGAGATGCTGATATGCTGATAAACATTCCGTGTAGTTAAAGGAAGCAATTTCTAGACTCCTGCTCATGCTTGAATGAACCGTGGGGTTTGCTGATAGACTCCCTTGCCCAAGCCCGCCTTTTGACCTTTCGGTTTTCTCATGTCCAGGTCCTTTCCTACAGAGTGAAGCCGGGCAGCATAGTTAGACATGTTAGACCCCGACTCCGATAAAAGGTTCTTGGATGCCTAGTCAGAACTCCTTTCTGCGGGTAACTAAGTGGAGTACTCAAAAACGGGTTGCGGTTGAGTCCCTTTTGCAGAAAGCATGTCTAGCTTCACTATTAAAGCTGTCGTCCAACCCGTCAGTCCGCTTTCAGGCCAGTGAGGCTCCTTCAATCTCGTTGCGTACACCATGAGACAGCACCAGCTTTGCTTGAGAGGAAAGATTATCGATTGTCACCTGGTTTCTTTCGACAAAGGAAGCAGATTGATTGGATTAACGCCTTGTATTCTTTTGGTTCCAACAAAATCAAAGATTATGACAATTCTTTGCCTGAGTTCTGGCACACCCTTTGGCCGCATTGCAACAGAACCATCAGCAGATGACCCGCACTTTTCCGAGCCAGAATATTCCTACACTTCCTCTTCTGCTGAGTTTCAATCGCGGGACTGTTTTGCTGTACATAGTTCTTGTGTAGGACGCAATTCCACTTTGCCCAGAGAAAATGGGTGTAGATACCCTTCAGAAAAAATACTCACACAGTCGTTATACGGCTTGCACAACCCCCCACACCAGCAACCCCTCCCCAAGGGAAACCAGGGGAAACAAACGTTTGTTTGGTGGCTGTACATCTTTTTCTTTATCCTCTGGTTGAATTAGGGTGCAAGTTGCCTTCCGACGTGAGGTGATCGTGAAAAGCATCGACGCAGCTCAAGACTCGCTGATGCTGACCACCGCCTACTTCTTCCCCCCGACCTTCCTCAAAGCGGCCCTTCTGCGGCTTCGCCAGAAGTGGGGTTCGAGGTCTTTCATAGCTTGGCCCAGCGGCAACCAGTGGGTTGCTTCCTTTTTGCAACCTTTTTGTTGGTGAGGGTTCCCCTTTGAAAGTCAACCAACCGCAGGATGCCCCTTTTTTAGTCCGATGGACATCCACTGGGCATTTGAGTTGGGGTCCAAGATGGATTCCCATGGAGTCAGATATCTGCACCTATATAATCAGTCTTTGATGTCATAAAAAGTTTTCATGTAGCTGAATTGAGGGATGTCTCTTTTGTTGCGGAACATCCCTGTAACAGGTTTGTTTTAGGAAAGTTCGTTGTGAATTTGCGGACATGGGGGACCACTTTCCAATTTCCTCCTTTCTCTCGCACACACTAGCAGGCCTACTCAATTGAACCAACTGTAATACTGTCCGTGGCTATTGAAATGCTAGACTATGGAAGAGAATCAATCGTGTTTTTGGAAGCCTCCATTTTGGGGATCCCCATTTTCCCCTGCACAACCCCCCCCCCCCCGCGGCACACACCCCACACACCCACCTCCTGATTTTCGTCCCCCAGGCGCGTGCCGGCGCGGAACACCTCCATGTCTCTGCTGCTCTCGGGGTCCTCGGACTTCTACCCGCTGCCCGGGGATTTGTTGGCGCAGATGTTCTTCTTGCGGGGCTTCCTGTCGGCCACCTTGCCCTCCCAGGCGCGCTCGGACCGACGCAGACGGACGCAGATGGGTTGCGAAAACCGAGTTGTTTTTCCGCAGCGTTCAGGAACCCTGGCTTTGGATTCGATTCCCCTGTAAATACCACGAAACGACAACCATGGTGTCCAAGTGGTGCGAACGGATGTTCTCCGTCCAAAGTGTGGTTTCGAAGATGCCCTGTTTGTGAAGAAGGGAAAGAAGGAAGCAATTCTTGGCTGCCCCGCATGAAGACACGGGGCAATTCGTCTACGAATGTTTAGCTGCTTTTGGGGGTGAGCAAACGAATCACACATTGGGGATTTCCAAGCAGCCAGATGAAATTGGCTTGAAGTACCCCAAAACTAAATTGGTTTCCTTTTGGAAACCCAATGAATAGCAGCCGGAACAGGGCACCATCAACAAAGACGCACCATGGTCCGAGGTCCTTGAGGGGTCCCTCGAAACAACCCTTCGGCAATTCCAAGTCCTAAACATAGCCCCGAAAATGAAAAAACTACCGCCCGCGTGCTTTGGGGGCAGTCTCCACTTACTTTGAGATGGAAGGGGCACAAATCCGGAGCCCGGAGGTATCTGCCTAAACCAGGACTGCGTGGAAACCACTTCATGGCTTCATGTTTTCTTGGGATCAGAAACCCTCGGGGTTTCCTGACAGTACTTCCTGAAACCCATCTTGCAAAGGGATCTTCCTGGGTCTAGCGTATTTTTGGATTGGGAATCCTCTGTTAATCCCCACAAAGTGTCCAAAAAGTGAAAAGGGGTTGGCAGAGTACACTTTTCCTGTTGACAAAGAAAAGTACTTGTCCCAAGTTTCCAAAAAGTATTCCCAAGTGAATCCCCTGAACTTGTCAACACGCTAGCAAGGTAAAAGAGAACCACACCGCGGGCGAACAGCGAACAAGAGTCCGCGAACAGCGCATCCGGGACCCCCAGCCACCCCCCAGGACCGAGTTTCCGTGCACCTCTACGAGAAGCGGCACATGCGGCGCCCTCAGCGCCCTCAGCAATGAAGCCTCCAGTGGGCTTCCATGTGCTTCAGAAAATTGTGTGATTTTCTCTTCTTGGTTTTGAAAGAAATGTATCACTACTAGAAATATGGTGATTTTTGTCCAGGAGTCTTCAACAAGTGGAAGTTGGGAGTTGTTTGGGATCATTTTGAGAAGGGAGACCAAGGGGGCGCGGAATCACCGACCCCCGACTTAGAGGCAAACCGGTTTGCTTCAGATGTGTTATTTTCTCATGACGGCAAGTGAACTGTTCATTGGTAGATATTATGTGTTGGTGGGCACCAAGCAAATGGAAGTCACTAGCCTATTTAAAATTTAGATCTTTCATGTGGAGCAAGCTCCCTAGGGTTTGTACAGGCTTAGCACCAACCTGACAAAACCCCAGCACATCGCAAGGAGCTCCCCTCGGACGCTGAGGCATGCAAAGCACATGTGTGTGGACGGGGTCTTCTCCACCATTGGCTCCTTCAACTTTGATCTCTACTCCGCGCGCCGGAATCTGGAGGCCACAGCTGGAAACTCCATCCCCGAAAACGGTAAGTTAAAAAACAAAATGCTCCCTGCACATGGAACCCACCAAACAAGCCACAGGAAGGGTCATCCTGTTTACCCCGCAAAAGGGAAGCAGGGGTTGATTCTACCATGTTCCTTCCAATTGTTATCAAACAAGTCAAGGGGGATACAACTCCTTTGATTTCGGGGTTCTGGCAGAGACTCATGTCTGCCTACCATGGTGTATTGCTCCACTGCCACAAACAAACAACACACATGCTGGAAGGAAAAACAATCACCATGCGCTCATATGAGCTATGAACCACCGAGCTGTCCTGAGCCTCTGGGGTTTGGCGCATGGGGTGGACCGCTGGATTGCTTGGCCCAGTTTTGGTTTCCACTGAGCACAAACCCATGAAGAGTCACCCTTGCAAAAAAGGCACACTGGGTATATTAGCTAGACTTCGGCAGCCCTCTTGGAGTGAAGAAGAGAACTCAAAAGGAAGTCAGCTCTGTAGTCCCCTGCAAATTTACATGGAACCCAAAGCCATCCTTTCCCAAGGAGCCTTCTTGAAAACAGACCTGAACCAAAGGTCGATGGTCATGCGCAAAGGGACATCCTCGACGGATGGTTTATCGTGGGCATGTCCATATTCGGGCGGAATGATTGAGTCCAAGTAACTCCAAAGCCCCAATTTTGTAGAATAGCACTAGCCCTTTGGAAACCGCCCAAGGGAGATTTCAAATTGACTTCTTTGCAGATTAAACATGTAACACCCATCTGTAAAGTCATCTCCTTTGCTTTTGGGGCCTTGGGTTTGGGCTCCATGATCAACAAGAGGTGGTTCATTGCCAGGGTTCGCTGAGCGTTGTCATGTTTTAGCTGGTTGGTTCTCCTTCATGTTCGCGTACCAGCAGAAAGTGAAATAACTTTCCGCAGAGGGTCGTCTCCGTTTGGCCAACTTTGCTTCTTATTCGAGTGGGGCCCCACCCCTAAAGTCGTCTACCGAATACAAATGTGCCGCCTTTCTTGCGACGCAAATCCTTTGGAGGCCTGAACTGGTTTTCTTTTTTTCTTTTTTCTTCGATGCTTCGTGTCATCCAAAAGTCCAGGGCTACCCTCCCCGATTGCCGGGAAGCCCTTTGCAAAAAGCATCAAGCACCCTGAAGCGGCTGGAACTCGCTGTGCCAAGCGCATACGGCAACGGAGCCCAAGTTTTGATGCTCAGTAGCGAATGACCTTCCGGGTTTTGGAATGAACCCAGGGATTCCCTTGAAGGAAACCATGGGTTGGATGTTTCATGGGGGTCGTTCCATCTCTCACTCCCTGGGAACCAACAAGCAAAGCATCGGAAGGGAAGTTCCAGCGGAACGCAGCCAGCCGTTTTTGGCCGGAGGAAAAAAAAGGAACCAAACGCTTTCCTCCGGCAGGTGGGTGTGGCGGTCTTCGACCGCAGCTTCGCCTTGCAGCTGCAGCAGATGCATCAGAACCGGGTCAAGGAGTCCAGGCGGCAAGTTGATCGGAGCCGATCGCCGTTCGATGTTCCAGGGTTGACCAAGTCCGGGATACATACTCCGGATGGACCAAACATCTATTTCGCACCAGTTGGGATGGGGTTCAACACCCTTCTTTTGACTGGTTGAGAAACCATCTACCAACTGGTGCGAATCGGATTTTGTCCACCCACAGTAGGATGACCATTGGTTGAGAAGCCACGCAAGGATGATATTTCAACCATGCGAAAAGTCACCAATGGTCAACCCCCATGTCAGCTTCCCTCTAGGTGGTTTGATTTGGTGGTGCTCCGGGGCGTCCCATTTTTTCATCCACAAGGATAAGGGGTTCAAAACCCCAAACCACCAGTTCAGGGATACCTGACGGGTAGATCCAAAAATAATCAAACAAAGAACAGATGATCGAATCCCGCTTGGATGGAAGACTGGTAATTGGTTTCGCCTTGTTTCTAAACACGGTGAACATCTCAGTCTTTGGCTCACATTTTGAGTTTCCGGATTAGCCGCTTTTGGGGTTTGTTTGGTCGTTTGAGTGGCTAAGAGAAAGTTTAAGCCTTGGTTGGCCAATCCACTTCAGAAGTGAGTTGATGCAACGTTTGCCCTGTTTGGGAGTCAGACATCAACCCGAGGAAATGAAGAAGTGCATATGCAAAAAAAGCGCAGAAACGTGTACCGTGTCTGGCATGTCTGATGATCTTGTTTTACGTATTACGGCTCAGCGAAAAAATATACACAAACTCAAGCTCATTTGTTGGGCCAGCAACTGAGGTGTGGACGGTTCGAAGCCTCTGACCTTCAACTTTGAGCTTTGACCGCATAACCTTTGGCTTGACCCAAAGATCTCGCGTTTTTGAGGGGGTTCTGTGCAACATGTCCTTTTTTTTGTTTGATTTTCCCGAGAGCAAACAGAGAGGGGAGGGGTAGTTGTTCCAAAAAGGGCCCTATGTAGCAACAAGTTCATGATTGGGCCATGAGTTTGTTCTTCCGATTCAATAATAGCGATGTTCTCGCTATCTAGCGAAAGCGTCACTCATTGCAGGTCAATGCCCAACCCAGTTGAAGTTGGGGAAGAGCCCAAGACTTGTTGATCGGTAGATTTCCTGGTGAATGCGTGCCCAACAAGGAACACCGGACGAGTGGATGAGGTCCGATCAGATTGCTGAATCATTCACCCAGACGAGCGTTTCAGGGCAAAAATGGCTAACCCAATCCCGGCTGCCATGCTGAATTTGTGTTTCGGTTTCACAGGAATGCAATAGACAGAGGCAGCTTTCTGCCCTTTGATTCTTTGCAGGTTTGTTTGGATGGATGCCTTCGATGGCTCAAGCGGGTGCATCCTCAATCACTTGTGGTTTCTTTCCCAAAGAAAACCAAAAGGCAAGTCCGTACAACGCCCAGAAAATGAAAAACAGTGGCTAGAGAGCCTGCTAGTTTCCGATTGAGTCTTCCAGGCGCACCTTTTTCAGCGACTGGCCGCCTGGCGTGCATCTGGGTCTCCAAAATTCGGCGACCCCAAAGCTGGTTGTTGTGTTCTTGATTTCCCTGCAACCTTGGGAAAAAGGAACTGCACCCAACCACCTCTGTCAGGTTGGATCTCTCCCAAGGATTTACTTGGCGCTAGCCAATGGATAAATTGTTTTGCTTGACCAGAGATGCGCTGATTGATCCGATCGCAGAAGCATCGCCAAGTGATATATCACTGGATGCTTGAACAAGGGCTCCAACCCCTGCTGCACAGAGTTTGCTTTGTGAATGCAACTATCCTGTCGATGCGTTTGGGCGTGAAAAACGACCAGTCACACAACGACATTCTCATCGCAGTTCTTGTTCGAGGCCGATGTCTTTGCCTTTAATTGAACGGCTGACATCAACAGAGGTTCCTTGTTCCAGTTTGCGGAGGGTAGCCAAGCAGTCCCATCGGCTGATTGGACATTGATGATCCTAGTTCTGTGACGGAGAAGACCCAAAGCAGAGCCCGAAGCGGTCGAAACGCATGACACGAAGTTGCCCAAGCAGAACTGAGGTAACACCTGGGGCAGGATTTACCCTGCCTCGAGAAAAGACTGCATGGCGCCCTCCTTGCTTTCCCACAAGCAAAAGGCGATTGGTTCAAACCTTTTCAACGGGGGGATGTCTCACTTCGCAAGGGTATCTTTTCGAGGTACCGCCTTGGCAAACCGAATGAGACACAATTCAGAGTTCCCGGCCTTAGTCAAAAGCGTGGTTCTCATCAGAGCAATCCTCTCCGGGTTGGTATCCTTGTCCCTGGAAGTGATCGTAAAATCTGTGTGAGTGATAATTCATCAGCCCCAAATATGGGTTCCCTATCAAAGGAACTATTTTGAATGCCCCATTTCCCAACCAGCGTTCGGTCTCAAAACTGGCCCACATGCCTGTTCGGTTTTCCGGTTTCTGTTTGATGCTACATTCGAACAACATACGCATGCCCAGAAGCTTTTAACCTTTTGTTTTTCCCTTCTGACCATTGTCGATCCAGGACCTACGAGGTCAACCTGTTCAATTCAGTGAGAATCTGGAGCTCAGATAGCCGCAGTTGCCAGCTTTGTTGAGGTTAGGAATCGGGCGAAACCCACAAGGTGAGAGTGGTGAACCAAATCCTGCTCCAGGTAGGTGCTTTAATCTATTCAAACTGTAACTTATCAGAGCACATAGTTGAGAACTTGCTGAAAGCTATTAGTTGATCAATCAAACCTCTATGAAACTCTATCAGGCTGGCTTTATCGAACTTTCCTCCATCACTGGATTTCGTGCCCAGGGTCTACCACCAGCCTTTGATCTGGGCAGCCTGCGGGATCGCCTACAGCCTCCTGCGCTTCAGCAGCCGCAACGTCTTCGATGGCCTGGACTGCTACCAGCGGAAGTGGCTCATGCGCAAGGCCCCAAGGGGCGCCGTTCCTGCATGGGTTTAATAGTTGAGGAGTGTAGTAAAGACCAGAGAAACCATTATGTTTGTGTGTGTGTGTATGTGTTGGAACCAAAAGTATCTCAGCCGCAATCAGAACCGATTCGTGTAAAGGAAGGGTGGTAAAGGACGGTCAAATTCATCAATAGGTGCGGATATCCGCCCTTTTTGGTTCTTTCCATACTTTTGGGTGGATTATATGTATAGCAAGTGTAGATGTGAACATATCTGTAATATATACAAGAGGTTGATTATGACTCTGAGCGCGGTTGCTTTTCAGACTAGCTAGGTTTGTCATTTGTCGAGTACGGAATATTTGAGTCACCAACAAAAAATGAAAATCGCGCTTGGCCAATCCACTCAGGAAGTGAGCCTGGCGTCGTTTGAGCTTTGCTCTTACCGCCAAAGTAACCTTGTTCGCCTTGTGAAAGTTCATTGCGTCTCCATCAAAAAGTGCATATTGTTGAGAGAGACCCAAAGGTGTCCAACCTTGTCTTCTGTCCTTTGCGGTGTTGTTTCCTTTCTTGAGGAGCGCGCTTGGAGGGAAAATGGTCCAACATTACGCATGAAAACCACCCACGTTTTCCATCTCCATCTGAGGTTCATTCAACAGATGGTATCCTCAACCCGCCCCCGCCCAGCCCTCCCCCCCTGCCCCCAAACATGGTTAAAAACCAGTTGAACTGAACACATACTCATGCCAGTCACACATGGCGGTCAGAGCAAGGTATCCTCTACATGGGTTGGCGTAGGTCTCATTCGAAAGATGTCCCTTTACATGTGCCCATTCAAAACCCCAAATTGTCAAGAATCTTAAAGAATCGTTCGAGGGGTGTTTTGCGGGCTGCTTTAAAGGTAAAGGTAAACCAAAGGAAGACCTAGCATGGTGCAAGAGGCAGCAGAACTGCGTGCTCAACAGCCGCCATTCTGATGTGAAGATTTTCCCGACAAAAGGAATCCAAAGCCTTAAGGGTATGATAGTATGGGTTGTTCAAGCCCTGTTTTTGTTTCTGAAAGGAAGCCAAAAGGGGAACGGTATGTTTTTCCGAGCAATCCCATTTCCCGGCTTTCTCGGAGTGCTCCGTAGGCGTCCCTGACCTTCTTGCTGGAGGAGCAGTCCGGGGCTCGAATCAAAAGCTTACCGATGGGTACAATGAGCTTGGTGAAGGTTCTAGACCGGGAGGGAACGGGGCGGTTCCAGCGGTGCCCTTTTTCTCCTTTTTGGGAAGGGTTCCCCTTTAAAGTCAATCAACCAAATAAGGATGCCCTTTTGTTTGCCATGGATTTCTCCACTGGGCATCTGAGTTTGTTCGCCGGGTTCAGGGATGTCGCACACCCGACTGACCTTGGCAAGCTGAAAAAAGCCTTGGTGCTGGCAGTCTTGATCCTTCTGGGTCCGTGCCCAAAGTTTGCTTCAACTTTTCTGGCCTGTGAACTCAGCAGGTCAGCGCCTCGTGAAAAAGGGGGTCGTGGAGAGACTCGTATGGGGTGTGCTTCTTTGGGCTTGGCTTAAAGGAAAGAAAAGAAAGCACCTGCACAGTTTTGAGGGATCCAATTCCAACTCCTTGTTGTCAGAAGGGGGAACCACCTCAAAAGTGGTGGACATGTCTATGAAAGGGTCCCGGACCACTAAAACTCACACGCCATGTCTTGGGACGCTTGCGACCGGTCGACCTCGGATGCCCGAGGTCCGCGCAGTTTGTGGCCACGTCCATGATGTGGGGCTTGGAATGAAGCCGCTTTCGGAAGAATGCGGACGGGGCCTGCAAAAAGTATGCCAGCCTTGTGTTTTCAGGGTTTGCTATGTAGCACAAGCATGCAGCCCTAAAAATCGAATTCGTAGACGAAATGTGGGGAGGAGCGGAAAAGATGGTTTTGGTCTACCTCAGAGTTGGGCCCAAGTTCGTGAGACAGTAGGAGGGTAGCAAGAGTTTGGGTGTCAAAATAGCCTGTTTGAAGTGTCCCAACAAGGAAACCAGAAGAGGGGGGTCGGCGATGCATTTTTCCCTTGTCCTCCCAGCCTACTCGGGAAAAAGGTCAGGACTCAGAGCAGTGTTCCTTGGCTCGATGTGTGCAAATTGGGGTGGCTTTGCACAAAAACCAAAGCACCTATGGTATGGGGCTCCTTAGTTTGACACCTATATGTGCTAGCGGGCGCGTCTTATCTTGCAAAGATCTGTGACTTTCGAAATGTTTTCAACCGTTGTTCCCGCAATCCTTGTTGCCTCAAACCCTGGCAAGACGCCAGATCATTTCGAGAAGCTTCAGGAGTTTCTGCCCAAACCACTGATGTTTCTGGTTGTTTTGCTGGCTTCCTGTGGAATATTGTAGAGCTTTCCGGAGCTTCGGCAAACCGGTGCTCACGTGTACATCTCAGGCTTTTCGAGTGACGGGCTTGACACCCCAACTCAAGAAAAGGAACCCCAGACAAACACCAAGTTGGCGTTGGGGACATTCCAACATGTTTGGAGGCGCTTCAAGCTGAGCGGTCAGAAGAACAGCCGAACGTTCACAATGGTGCTCGAAAAGGTCTAATCGAATCCAGCGCCTGGCAGTGGGAAAAAATGGCCGCAACTTGACATGGTTGTTCATGGGCAATAAATAAGATTTGATCAACACATGCTTGTTCAAAAATTCCAGACCCATGCCTTTGAGTCGGCACTTGCGTTGAAGTCTACCCCCCGCAGCCACAAGTCACTACGTCACTTTGTTTGTGCATTTTGGAAAATAGCCACCATGCACAGCATTGAGGAATGTTGGTCTTACCCTCGAAGACAGCCGAGCTGAGGCATGGATCTTCATTCTGTAAACATTGCTTAGTGCCATGGAGCAAGGAGCTGTCCAAAGTATACTGAAACGTGTTGCAAGGATGGCTCAATGTCGAACAGCAACTTGTATTTCTCAGGTTCAATGTAGACGGAGCGAATTCGTATTTGAAAATTATCACCCACAGTTTGGCAGCTCTGTATCCATCGTGTGGACGCAGGGTGAAACTCGTCCCACCCTTGCATGACCTCGAGTTTCGTTCGGAATCGCCTTGCGTTGGATCGCTTTCTGGCATTCCCCTATGTGAATTCAGAAACCTACGGTGTCCAACCACAGCAATGGGTGTTGGTGGTGATAAAGACTGAGGTGGCTTTAGGACTTCCATTGAAAGGGCCCAAGTACACCTGTGGAATCCCATCAAAGTGGATGTTTAGGAGTGCTAGGCGCACAAAGAAGATCAAGTCGTAGCCATGGTTGGGCGCGGAAGGGCTTAGGCTAATGTGTCTGGTCTGTGCACATAACGACCGAGGCTTTGGTACGCAACCAAATTCTTTATGGGGAAAGGTGACCTCTTGGGCGTCCAGTTCGGGTCTCAGGTTGGTGAATCATAATCTGGCTGCTTCACGGACCACGATCTGCAATTCATGTCCAGTACTTCATCCAGGTATTTGTCATATGGGATAGGTTTAATTGGGGTTACCAAAATTGGAATTGTCGTCTAGGTTGTCAGAAGTCTAGCCTTTTGGGTTCCCCTTTTGGCCTATTGGTATAGGGGCGAAAGGGTGGAAGAAAGAAGGCGAGCGCCATCAGAACTCAGGCCACCCCAAGCAGGGTTTCCGGTTTGGTTGCCAGTTGGGCAACGGTAGAAATTCACCCTTCTTGGTTTTAAAAAGTTGGGTTCTAGCTTGCCATTTGTGATTTCTTGCAACCCCTTGACAGTGATGTAAGGATTCAGATGGGAATCAACCAGTCACATGTCCTGGTGGGCACTCGCGTTTCTGAATCCACGTAAAGTGACAAGCCAGGCGATTGTTTTTTTTCACTGCGCAGCCACCAGGCTTCAAGTCATGCCTTTGTGCTTGATCTCAACACGCACAGACATAGATTGCATCAAGTTCCAGCCAGTTTCTCTTTCTCACTTGAGTTGGGGAGCTTCGAGATGTTGTTTTTTTCTCCATCATAGTCAATGGAAGTGTTTGGCCAAGAGGTTAGGTTGGCCAATCTCACTCCAGCTCCGTTCTGATTGCATGTCATTGGCAAGCGCTTGCCGTAAATTGGGGCGTCTCCTTTGCCGCACATGGGGTCCAAAGAGCAAAAGCATAGCGCGGCACATGCCGTTGCAGCTTCAAAGCCCACAAGAGGTGCTTCAAGTCCGTAAGACGCGGATGGGCATCAGGCTGGGTGAATTTGCGCTTGCGCGCTGGAATGTGTCTTGAGCATTTGGTTTGCCCGGCGGTTCGCCTTTTATATAAGATCCAACCTTCCCCACCCCTAACCCCGGCCATATTTTGGCATTTCCCCCACTGGGCAAGCAGGTTTTCACAGGATTGATCCGTTTCATGGTCTAGGTCTCCAGGCAAGGGCAAAGTGGATGTCGCGAATGACTACACCAACTGCGGCATCTACTTTCACCCAAGTGTACAGTCCTGGAAATTAAGAAGGAAACCCAGGTACCCCAAAACAGAGCTTTATTGAGGATCTCTAATATTGCACGTTAAGTTGCAGGAAAGTACCATGTAGGGGGTGAATATGTCTCGCCCTCGATGTCAGTTGACAAGCGCACGAGAGTTGTGACAAGCTCATCCAGGGTTTCCTTTACTTGGCCTCTTTCTTGGTTTCCAAGTCCCTAATGGCTGCCTACTTCTCTTGACGCCCCATCTTGATTGATCCAGGGGCGCGACCACTTGAAATCCCCTCAGGAGGCACAGTACACGTGTGTCTTAAAAGGGCGGCCCAACAACAATGATGGTTTCTTCTTTGGTTTCCCTTGAAAACACCCTTGCAGCGCGATCCCCCCCCACACTCTAATGTGTGTTTTCGTTTTGGCGACTTTAAAGATCACCTTTTGGCCCGCCTGGGGTGAGGTTCCATGTTGGACCCTGCAGGCATGCGGTGCTGCCGGCGCGCGGCAAAGCCCTCACAGCTTCTCGAGCGATGGATTTAGGTCCTGGCGTCTGGGCGTATGTTTTCTTGAGGGACCTTTTCGCAGGTTAGTTTTGAAGGCAAACCTTTTTCAGGTTGGCGTTGCAGATTGGCTCTGCGTCTTGTGAAAATGGGTTGCTTGCTACTCATGAAACGTCACGTAAACGGCACATGTGTTTAGGCTCGGGCCTTTTTGAGTAGAGGGGGGCAAACTCGCGGCGATGGAGTGGCCTGAGCCGTGGTCCAGGCTACCGGCCTGCGGCTGGACCACGGCCAGGCTCGGGACGCTGGACGACCTGCCGCGGAGGGGCCTGCGGGAGATTGTGGAGAAGGCGTGGAGCCGGGAGGCCACGGAGGAAGAGCTGGAGGAGTTCCGAGAAGGTCCAGGAGTGCGGGAGCACGGGCAGGATCCAGTGGAGGGTGGAAGGCCGATCTGGCGGGCTGGACTGGGTGGCGGCCAGCTTCAAGCGGGCCAGGACCTTCCGGCTTGGAGTGGTGGCGGAGGTCGTGGATCTCTGAGGCGCCCCTGCAGGAAGGGCAAGGCGCCCTTGGCACACTGGCCCTGCCGGCTTAGCAGGTTGGTGGGAATAACCCACAGGAGAGGTGTACGGGCCCATGCAGCCGCAAGTGCTTGGGATCTCGCCCACAGCATCTGTGCCGTCCCAAGCCCAATGAAGGGGGGAAGGACGAGACCAAGCACTGAGGACCACAGGTGGCTCCGGCTGGGCAAGAGGGGCCGGGGCGCACCTTCAACGTGCTGTACCTCTTCAGTGGTGAGGAAAGGAAGTCATCCACAGGCAGCCAATTGCAAAGGATGGCTTCAAAGGCGGGCTACAAGGTGCTCTTGGAGGAGTGGGACATTCTCAGGAACGCGGAGCACGACCTCACGGACGAGAACAAGCGCAGGGGCATCTTGGAGCGGATCAAGGCGGGCACTCAAGTGCGCGGTGATCATCGTCACCCCTCCGTGTGGCACGTGGTCCAGGGTGACTTGGGCCAATCACTTCGGACCCAAGCCAGTGCGAGACGAAGCAGGCTGTCTGAGAGGTTGCAGAAGCGGGCGGATGAAGGTAACATCATGATCGTATTGTTCATCGACATCCTGATGTTGCTGGGCGCTACGTGGTGCGACCTGATCGCTCGCCGACCCCACTTCCTGGGAGAGCATTCCAGAGGACCTGGGTGGGCTACACAGCCCGGTCGCTCAGGGCAAGTGGGTGAGGCCAGCTTCCATTTGGAAGCTGCCGGCCCTACGGCAGGCAGCAGAGGAGCTGGAGGGCATGCAGTCCATAGCCCTGCACCAATGCAATTGGGAGCTCCGACACCGAAGCCACCACGTTTGTTGACGGACCTCCCACTGGGCGCCAGCAATGGCCTGGACGACGAGGGCAAATATTTAGGCCCTCTGCCACGGAACTGTGGTCACAACCACAAATACGGGCTGCCAAAGCAGCACCCAGAAGAGCCCTTCCGGACTCCAGCTGCACCCTTGCAGACACTGGCGGCAGCTATCAATCAGGTGCTGCTTGCGGCCCTCACCAAGCCCCCGTGGAAAGGCTTGGCGAGGAGGGGGCGCTCAAGAAGGCAAGGATCAAGGACGAAAAGAAGGGCAAGTTCGGGTTGGGCTTCACCAAGAAGGCAACGATCAAGGGCTTCGTGAAGGGCAATTCCAAGCAGGACATCATGAAGAAGACGAACGGTACTTCGAGGAGGGCAGGATCGGTGGAAAAAAGGACTTCGAGGTGAAGGGATTTTGGGGGAGAGGGAGGCCAATGCAGGCCTGCTAGAAAGGCAAGAAGAGGGGTTTGCCGGGAAGATGGAGAGTGCCAGGAGCCCCCGACAGCGCTCACTTCCGCGAGGTCAGG